TACGAATAATTTAATATAATCACCAGGAGTTACAAAAATAATCGATAGCTTTTTATTTTAGGAGTGAGGTCATTGTGTCTCCACAAAAATGGTGTATTATCCAAAGCTATTGTGTTAGACCCTAACAGTTATTTGAGCCTTCTTAATTCCCAAAATATCCACTGTATATAATTGTAAAGCATTGCAGAATATGTAGGCACTATATAAATGATATAAATGCTAATAATAATAACAATACCTAAAAGGTTTGGTTAATGTTCCAAACTAAAAAGTCTTGCACATGAAGCAATCGCCATGGAAACCAATAGAATGTCTCTTAACACTTAGCAGGTTGCCCCAGACTAGAACCTGTTTTAACTTGGTTACGATCCTTAGCTTATTGAATATTTCTGGATTTAGTTCACTTATAATAATATTTGGTGAGTGAACTGGGTTGAGGGGTTTAGTGTGGTGGGAATGCATGGGTGAATGTTCATTTACTATAGTTGCAAAGAGAACAGTGTTATCATAAATCCTGCTACTGTTCATGGCCCCACTCATTAAATATTATCTATAGTGTCAACCAAGTGGTCAGCACCATTTATAGTTGCAGGTGCATTACTAGGGCATGCAACATAACAAACAAAACACAGCCCTGCCTCCCCATAGCTACAGCTTTCTAAACAAGCTGAGAAATTATTTGAACTTTAAAGCCTTGAAGTGAATTTACAGTACCCACAAGATTTATCATGTTGTGTTCGGAACCAAACCAGCCAGAGTGACGCAACACAGTGCAACACTTCTTCATTTAATGGTGCAACTTAGAAATACCCTGTTCTTCCTCCATATCACCTGGTATTAATTTTGCATCCGCATACACGTACTCTTTGGCACAGACTGATTGATGTTGAATCATGATATCAGGAGACTGGCCCATTTAAACTCAACTTGCTCCTGATTTGTTGTCCTTTCATAGTTTCTCATATACAATGGCAAGGTCTGACTTTGTAATGAATTTTAGTGTTAGCCCAAGGTTGTTACATAGTTAAATATATAGGCTGAAAAGGGACATGCGTTGATCAAGTTCAGCCTTCCTTACATCAGTTTTATTTACTGTTCATCCAAAAGAATCCAAAAAACAAAACAAAAAACAGTTTGAAGGACTTCCAATTTTGCAACAAACTAGAGGGGGAAATCCTTTACTATTAAAGCACTTTTACCACTTTATACTGATATGTGAGAGGACATTGGATTTTTTCCATCCCCTGACAAGCTAAAAGAAGGAAGTGGTGATCCTTAATCCCACAGCGCTGGATAATTGAGCCTTGTATTACAGGCTCTAATTTTGTGAGTGTGTCACTATATATTTTATCCTCACTTCATTTTCTATTCAGACAATATTGCACTATCAAGTGTTATTATCTGTTCTACTTTTAGGATTTACCTGACATTATTTGTAACCAGAAGACACTCCACCTTACATTGTATGGAAATCCTTTCTTGACCACAGAATGGCAGTCAAATTTGTCCTTGGATCAAGAAGCTATTACCCTACAGTTGAAAAATTATATAATTGAATATTATGTTTTTGCAAGTATGCATCTAGCTGCTGTTTAAATATCTGTACAGACTCTGATAAAACCACTTCTTCAGGCAGAGAATTCCACATCCTCATTGTTCTTTTGGCTAATAAACAACAACTTTCCTTTGCTTTAGAGTAAATCTACTTTCTTCCAGTATAAAAACATGACCTTGTGTCCTATGTATAGTCTTGTTTGTGAATAGAATCTTCGTTTACTCATTGCTCTGCAATCCTAACCTAGGCTTCTTTATTCATATGTAGTCTTTCTGGCTCCCTGACCTTGACTAGATCTTAATGATTTTCATTTTTTCTGGATTAACTTGCTGCATGGCGACTCTAATGACTGGCTCTACACTTCTAATCCTTTTTCACCATATAGTCTTTTTCGTGGGGATCTGTCCTACACTATGTGTGTTGGACATATATAATACTGACACCATTGCCCCTTTTGTCAAGTTTACTAAATAAGAGCTTCAGGAACATATTATATGTTCTTGAATCTAAAAAAAAAAAAATTTTAAACTTACAATATAGTATAGAAAATTCACTAGTATCCCTTTGCACTCTCCAAATGTTTTTCAGAAGAAATCTGAACATAGGTTAGAGGGAACTTTTTGCAAGGTTATTCACTAATATGAATGGCAACTCAAAGTGACTTTCAAATGTAAGGCCACAATAACCAAATGAAACATACAATTGACCTGAAATTTTGAAATTTACTTTAAATTCCCAGCAATTCTCACATATTCTGTTGTGTTTTGTTTTTTTTAACCCAGAAAACATATCATGTCCAATGTTCAGTTTATTCAATAATCTTTCCTAAACTCACCAAGTATACCAAGTACATATGAGACCCCAAAATACGTTTTTAGCCGAAATACGGGCTGGGCTGTGCCTGATTTGAAGAACACCACTCAACGGCAATTCTTCAATATTTTCATTTCAGGGTCACTCTTGGAGGCTTGGTGGATATTTGCATAAGTGGCCTTTTCACTAATTGTACATACCATATATATTTACTATCAAACATGAGTGTACTTAGATCTGAACTTGCTTGTGAGTATTTTACAAACTTACTATGTAGCATTTTGCTTAAAGTGTTGCCATGTTTTGCCCTGTTGATTGTTGAAGTTTGAGGTAGTGTGGCACAAAGTGTTATGTGATTTTCTGTCAAGTTCAGCTGCTCACAACAGCTGCCACAGGAATTTCTATTAAACCCAGCATGATCCCAGCCTAAATTGCAAGGCAACCACGTTTTGCCGCTAGTCCAGTACCCATTACTCCATGAGTGTTGGGGGGACGGGGACAGGAGAATGATTACCACCCAGAAAATCTAGTGAGAGAAGTAATATCCCTCCCAATCAGGATGGTGTAGCTTTTAAAATTATATATTTTACTGCTTGAGAAATTGGAAAACCAAGACATATTTGCACTAAATAAAAGTGCCTAGTTAATGGTTTCCTTGGGGCACAGGGGGCACAACGTGTCTTCAGAGCAGTCAAATAACTGTAGCTTCCTGCAAAGTGGAAATTTTGGAGAAACTCAGCAAACTACAGATTATAGTTGGATTGCGAAACACATACTCTTTGTAAACGTTTTAGTTGGTAAGAGTCACTGAGGGCTTGAAAACTGTCTCCATATTTCCAGTATTTATAGCTCTAAGATTAAACTAATATTAACATGCTCAATATATTCTATAAAATTGTTCTGCCTAAATACAATATTAGTGATTGTGTAACAGTATTGTGTAACAGTTCTTAGAAGCAACATCTAAAATATTGATATTGTTTAGCTATCATTTGATTGATTCATATTAACCCCTTCAATACTGAATTGTTTCCTAAAAATAGCAAAAATAGTCCTATTTGAAAGACAGGATGCATAACTATTATGTGAGCTTAAATATTTTTAGTATAGATTGCACTTCTGAGAAACGTAGAACATTAATATGAGTTTATATTTGTTTCCTTCATATTCATTCATTTTATCATTAAAGGATCACTATAGTGTCAGGAAAACAAACTCATTTTCCTGACACTATAGCACCCTTAGGACCCCCTCACCCTCAGGGCCCCTCTCCCTTGGCGCTGAAGGGGTTAAAACCCCTTCAGCCACTTACCTTAATCCAGCGGCGGGCTCCCTCAGCACTGGTGATCTCTCCTCCCCCGCCGACGTCAGCTCCCGAGTGGAGCGGAATGCACATGCGCAGCAAGATCCGCACGCGCATTTAAACAGTCTATAGGAAAGCATTTTTCAATGCTTTCCTATGGACGTTCTGCACGCTGGATGGGAATTTCGCATTCAGCGTCGCAGAAGCGCCTCTAGCAGCTGTCAGAAAGACAGCCACTAGAGGTTGGATTAACCCTGCAATGTAAACATATCAGTTTCTCTGAAACTGCTATGTTTACATCTATAGGGTTAAAACCTGAGGGACCTGGCACCTAGACCACTTCATTGAGCTGAAGTGGTCCGGGAGACTATAGTGTTCCTTTAAATATTTTGAATATAAAATATGAGATATTACAGAATGTCTATCAATCTTAACGAGTTGAAAAAAAAAGTTACAAGAGAAGATAATTTTAGAACATTTTATAGGTGTAACATTGTAAAATAAAAATTATACTAAAAGGGGCCAAATGCCATGTTCATGTCTATATGCAAGTGATTTTCTGGTATTTCTGCTTTGAAAACACAGGTTCCCACGACTGTCAACAAAGTATAAAATTATACAACATACAATAAATACACTGTCTGGCTATAACCAGATATACATATGTCAAAGGTTTGTTTTCTGCTGCTATATATAGGTTTGTCCTGAATATGTGGCCTTATCTCATTCTCTCCCCTCCTCCATAGTAGTGCCTATACTAACACTGCACAACTGAGCCAAGTAGACTCCTATGTGTTCAAAGTGTGCCTTTTCATTATCCAATTATATTTATTTCTCTGCTGAGTAAGGACCAGCACAGAGGCACTGGTACAGGTAAATATGGCCTAGATTGTTGTTTTATTTTTTTATTATGAAATGCAACTCAAAGTGAAACCAATCCATTGACTACATGGGAGTGACATTGAATGAAGAGGCACTAAAATCTGACATTCCATTTTCTGCATAATCAAAAATAAGAAAAATAACTTTGAATGCAAGATGAAAAGAAAATTGTCCATTTTGCAAAATGTTCTAAAATTTTAAGTTTGAGAATAAAATGTTTTAATCATCTACAGGATGAGAAATACACAAAATGCTAATTTTATTTGAATAAACTGAACCATCCTACTTTTCTGATATCCGATATCTCACCAAGATAGGCTTTCATTGGTATCTCATCTTCCTAGCTGCTCATTCTCTGTCTTGTGTCTCACTTGAGCTATCTTCCATATCATGAGTTTGCTGTCTGCACTTTCCTTTATATCTATTAGTCCAGGGATAGGCAACCTTTGGCACTCCAGATGTTTTGACTACACCCCCCATAATGTTCTGACACCCATAGCGCTGGCAAAGCATCATGGGAGGTGTAGTCCAAAACATCTGGAGTGCCAAAGGTTGCCTATGCCTGTAAATTAGTCTATTTTAATCAACCAATGTTATATCGTATGGGGTGTTAAGATTTTTTCATGCAATCCTTCATGTTCTTTTCAATTTATTTTAAAGATTTTGCAAATGACTTTACAATCTGGTGCAGTCCAGACAGAGCCAGGGGAGAAATATTGCAAATGAACAGGAGAAACAGAAACATTGTTTTATTTCTTATCTTCTTTGTATTTCTTTATACCAACTGCCAGGTGCAGAGGACAGAGCTAATAGCAACTGACAGGGAGCTAAGATGGAGGCGCCCAGTTGCAGGATAAAGACGTGTCTACAATTAGTTTTATTTTTCAACACCTCACACATACATATTTGTTAAATACTGGGATAAGTGAACATAATATTAAATATCTGTGGAAGTGACAGTTACCCTTTAAGACACGTTGGAAAAAAGTAACCAGGCACAAACATGATTATTCTCTTAAAGGAATTCAAAATTTTAGCCCAATATAGGAATACTGAAGAAATAATCTGAGTCAAATATTTTCATTTCAGTTGTTTCGGCCTAACATTTAATTTTCCACTTTGAAATCTCAACAATTCTCACTTTAGTGAATACATTTGATTGTTCCTGCAATGTTTCTTACCAACTGAATGTAACATACAAATCTTTATATATCATATCAATATAAAATCATCCTTCCCTATGAAAACCTAATGCAATTTAATGTAATTATTATTATTGGCATTTATATAATGTTGCCTTATTCCATAGCACTCTACAATATTATAAAGGGGGGAATTTATTTATTTATTTTTTAATTTTTTTAGTTTTTTGCAGTGCATAGAAATGGTACATGCAGGCTCGAAGTGCCCCAAAAGCATTCCTCAAGCATTTCCCTCGCGTAACATGCAGGGCATTTGATTATCAGGCACAATTTTATAATAACATAAGCAGGTTTAACAGTGTAGCTTCGACTGTAAGTATGTAATTATGCTGTGAACAAGCTTAGTCAGAGCGTGGGTTAAGTTAGTAGCTCACGGTTAATACAGGTATACATTGCTCGGCAGGTAGCTCGTGCAAATTTTTATGGTTAATATGCTAGGTTAGTGTGATGTGGTGATACTCATATTAGACACTGAAGTGTAGGGTCTATGTACAACAAGCTGGTGGAGCGTCAGCATGTATGATAAGATTAACTCACAGTCCAGAGCTATAAAAGAGAGAATTTTCGTTGCTAGCTATAGTGTGAGTAAGCCTGTGTGTACAATGGGCTACTTACATTTAGCAGTGTCCAAGTGGAGGTGTCAGGGCTCAGACCGTTGTCAGGCTTCAGGAGGTGGGCTGATGAATGTGTTGTCCGCCTTCCTCAGCCTATGCCCTGTGCTTGCCTCTGTGGAGAGTCAGTTTCCAGGTCTGTTTTACCAGTGCCTCTTTCCGGATGTGGGTTGCCCTGTTCACATTGCGAGCGCTGTGTGCAGCATGACAGGTCCCTGTCTCTTCGGCTCCGGGCTTTGTAGGGAGCTAGTGCCTTCTGTCCGTGGACCACCCTCCGTCGGGAGGCCGGATCGTGGGTCCCCAGGGTGTCCGGCTTGCGGTCTTCCCTGTGGGCGGTTGGACTGCGGCCTGGAGATTCCTCCAGTTGGACCTCTGGCCCAGAAGAGGGACAGGTGTCCACTGCTGTGTGGCAGGTAGGTTCCGTTTTGGGAGGGGCAGGCTGGGGTCCCTGCTTGGCAAATAGCCTCAAACCAGGTTTCAAAAGCCTCTCTCCAGCTTTGGTCTGTCTGGCTTACTGGGCTGTGCTGGGATTGCGCTGCGGTGGCCATCTTGAGGGTGCATCGTGGCACACCCAGGTTTCCCGGTCAGGCCCTGTGGCAGTAGCTTGTGGTGTGTACTTCAGTTGCTTACTGCGGACCGGGATGTCCCCCACCGGTCCAAAGGGGGTAGGAGTTAGGAGGTATGCTGAGCCTGTGTTCTAGTTCACTAGCGAGGAAAGCGGCCGCCTCTCCTTGGTTCGATCCCCAGTAGGCCTTAGCAGGTTTTTAGGGTTCCCGGCTATTGTTAGGCGAGATTCGGGTGTCAGGCTGGGTTCTGGGCAGTTTATCGTCTTCCCGATAGTAGACGTGCCGGTTTTTGGGGGTTTCTACCCTCAAATTAGCAGTTTGGGTCAGAAGCTCGGTTCCTGCATGCCTTATCAGCCTGGAAGCTAGGCTCCGCCCCCCATAAAGGGGGGAATTTAAAAAAAAAATGACAATTAAAAAATGTTAAAGAAACAATAGGTTGATGAGGATCCTGCTCAAACGAGCATACATGATCAAAAAGATTATATGAAATGCCAAATTTCCAAATGGCAACAAAATAAATCTAGGGCAATGTTATACAACAATAATGGCTTTCCTAAAGGTTCCCTCATCTTTTAAAAAAAAAAAAATAACATTTATTATGTCTGAGTAATTCTGGATTGTTCTTGTGTTTGCTAAACACCCTAGTATTAAAAGGAAATTCTAAGAACATAGGATCATGTATGTGGAATTCTGCTGCCATATAAAGCTGATATATAATTTATGGCTTGAAACCTTGATGAGTAGCAGATGAGGCTATGATGTTCCCGTCACTGCACATTGTGTTGTGCTTGGGGCCATTTCATTCAGTAACTGTTAGTCATTGCATCAGTGTAAGATGGTTCATTGCCACACACACCTCTGAAATTAACCTTTTCACTGCAATGGGGGAACTGGAACTGTACGACAAAAAAAAAAAAAGACTGCTTTTCTAAAATATTCCTGGATATATTTCTTTAATAAAATGAGGATTAAATATTTTTTTGTATTAAATAGTTAAATGAAATGGTTAAAATTTGTTGAGTTTTTGGTCCTGCAAATAAAGAAGAAATTCCTTGCATTGCAAGGGGGAAATAGTTTTGTTTGTTGACGCATCTAAGTCCCCTGTGGAAAACACATGTATCCACTAGGAGTTATTGATGTAAAGCCCATGATAAATATAAGACTTTGCACATGTAAGTGGGAATTTGAGCATATTTTATCGAGCTAGGAATAAAATGGAAGTGTGACATACAAGTTTTTTTATATATGAATGTTTTATAGTGACTTGTCATGCAGTCAGAGTTTGTATTCTATGAGCACAGCACCAGGTTTAATTGTGTATTAAGTCAAAAGTCACTGTCTGAATTATAAACCCCTTCATGGCAGTTGACCTGTCAATGCTGGATAAAAATAAATCATATACCTAATCCTGAAGAGATAAGAGTGAAGAGATTTTGCTAATTAAGTAATTTAGCTACAATCCTTTCTCAAGGCACCAGTGAGCACTCTTAATTTGTATTTGATTTCATTTAGTGCAGCTTGTGTGCGCTAGTAGGTGTAAAAATACTTTAGTATTATGAATTCAGGGCATACAGAAGTGCACGTGGTTCTGAGTTTGGGCGGTTTAGTGCAAATGCTGATTGGTGTGGAAGATGGCAATAAAGAAGACTTGATGATGAATGTGACTTTTTTATGTGACTGCCTCTCTGCTGTTTCTAACTGGATGGCTGCCCACTTCCTTAAACTAAATTTGACCAAAACTGAAATTCTGGTCTTTCCTCCCTCAAGGGTTGTTACTCCGGTGTCTGTCTCCCTCCAAGTCAACGGTGCTACCATCAGCTCCACCACGCAGGCTTGCTGCCTAGGTGTTCTCTTTGACTCCGACCTCTCCTTCAAGCCTCATGTTCAATCTATCGCCAAATCCTGTCATTTCCATCTCAAAGACATTGCGCGCATCCGCCCCTACTTAACGCCAGATGCGACTAAGGTGTTGGTCCATTCCACTGTCCTTTCTCGCTTTGACTACTGTAATCCGCTTCTCAGTGGTCTTATGTGCTCCCAACTAGCGCCGTTACAGTCCATAATGAATGCGGCGACGAGGCTCATCTTCCTGTCCGCCCGCACCTGCCATGCCTCACCCTTCTGTCAGTCCCTACATTGGCTTCCTATAAAATATAGAGCTCAATTTAAATTTCTGGTTCTTGCTTTCAAATCTCTACATAATGCTGCTCCCACCTATCTATCCTCCCTTATACACAAGTATGTCCCATCTAGGCCCTTACGATCTGCTGAAGACTTACGTCTATCTTCTGTCCGTACTCCCACCTCTGATGCTCGCCTTCAATATTTCTCGAGGGCTGCACCGTTCCTGTGGAACTCGCTTCCCTCCTCCGTTAGATACTCACCCAGTCTCCACTCCTTAAAAAAATCGTTAAAAACCCACTTCTTCATAAAAGCGTATCAATTAAACTGTTAATAGCTCCTGACTGATTCCTCTTCTGCAATTGTCATTAGTATAATACTATCCTTACCTTTTTGTGTCATTTTACCCCACTCCCTCTAGTATGTAAGCTCATTGAGCAGGGCCCTCAACCCCTCTGTTCCTGTGTGTCCAACTTGTCTGGTTACAACTACATGTCTGTTCGTCCACCCATTGTAAAGCGCTGCGGAATTTGACGGCGCTCTATAAATACCATAATAATAATAATAATGTCTCTGTGCAATGTTTCTAAAAACTGAACTTTGCTTTAAAGGAGAGCAGTTACTCTTCCGAAATCTACACAATTTAATAAAACTTTGAAATCACCTTTTTATGTGCTGCTCTGTTTTATTTCCAATGTCCATTAAAATAGTTATTCACTACAGTGAAAGTTCAAGCTGAAATCATATTGAATTTCAAATGTAAGTCCAGAGTAGGCGAACAGCAAGCATAGATTACTTAGAGAATTTTGTTTGTCCAGTTTGACTATTTTGACCTTAATGTTGAAATTTTCCTTGAATTCACTTTGACATCTCACTTTAGTGAATAACCCTGTACACATCTTACTATTGACATCACAATACAGTTCTTTCCTGGCACATCCAAGGCAAGTATTGCATTGGAGGAGGAGAAACAAACATGCTGAATAGAGGTTAATACAGCAGTGTGGATTTTTCCATTTAATATTTTTTTGTGTGAATATCATTTTAT